TAATTTCATATGCATTAGGTCATCCTGAAAATTCCCGCGGTTTTAAGCCGTTCATTTTGAAGTAACGTAGTTCCATGAAAATTGAACATTTTTATTTCAAATAATTTCCATAATGTTTCATACACTTTTGCTAACTTATTACAAGAGCACTAATTTCGCTTATATAAAAATCCAAATTTCTAAGAGAAGCGTTTTCAATATTCTCCAGTTTCCTAAATCGTTTTTGCGCAAGGAGATTGCCAAGTGAGCGGAAAAAGTAAAAATCAATTGAGCTAATGCAATTTTTGTTCAACCGTGCTTGCTACCGTGCCTTCAGTTTTTGTTAAACAACCTCCAATTCGTTACTATATTACTTTGCCAATGATAGTGGAACCTAGTCTTAAGAAACTGTAATCAATTAATTACAAAGTTGGCCATCAAACTATGATTCGCGTCTTTCTTTCTCCCAGAGATTCGAATCTACCACACCATTGACATCTCACCAAAAGGTGTATCGAACATTACACAAATTCTCTCGAATAAAGATGTTTAATTCCAGTGCACCTACATTTCCCCCCCAAAAAATAAACGACGTCGTTCAAACGAGCTACTCCCAAAAGGAGAAAATTACACGATGTCGAACACGACAGCAAGTTACTTCACGTTTCAAAGTGATAGTGTCCCGCGGCACTTTCCAAATTATTTTTCATGAATTTTCGAACACAGGTGTATACCACTGGGAGCATGCGCTTATCCTCAATTTTTCAACAGCACTACGCACTTTCGCCAGTAAACTTCCTACCACGGAAAGATAAATTGCTTTTCTACCTTTAACCCCACAAGGGGAATCGTTTTCATTTATTTATTTTTTTCTCTCCTATCGAATCGACAAAAGTTCCGGGAATATTTAGCCTCTAGTTCGTACACGTTCGCGGATAGTTTCAACTTGTGCCCGAGCGTCGAACGTGAAACTTTGCCATTCGAAGTATGCCGCGTTTAAAACGCGAACGATTGTTCTCCGCTCTCTCTTCCGGCTGATCGATGCGGCCCATAATTTTCTTTCGCCCGTAGGTGTAACGTTCGCTCAGGAATTCATGAATATTTCCACGCGAATACCGCGAATACCGACAGGTAATTTTCGTAAATAACTCGATTCGAATGGTTCCCCTCCTCGCTCTCGGAAAATTTCAAGAACGAATACCTTATGTGTACCTGAAAACGTGTGTATATTCAGGGCTGTGGTTTGATCTGAGCAAATAGCGTATACCCTGTGCTTATTGAAAATTTTTAAAAAATTTTGAGACATTAAATGTTTTATTTATTTTAAATTGTTTTAATTTGCTTTTAAAATGATAATTTTTTACTAAATACCCGACTAAAACATTTTATTTTATTATTTTATTATATTTTTTTATTTTTTTTATTTATATAAGCTCTACGCGCGCTCTGATTGGCCAGTGTTTTTCGTTAATAATTCAAAAATGAAGCTTCAAAGAACATTTTGGTAAAGGAAAAAGTTGTTCAGAGTCACCCCAGCAACCCCCCATTTCCGGGTGTTCGAGGAGTTACGGGACATCCTGTATAAAGAGCGATCTCACCCCCGCCGATAATATCAGTTCACAAGAATACACCAACGCATCCATACCATCGATTCGCTAAACATTCATACTCCATCAGTCGAGTGTGAACGTAACAGTAAAGATGAATAACCGCAGTTCAACTTCTTCACACAACCTGGAACAGGCTTCGCCGACGTTAAACCGTCGAACGAGCCAACCGGCAAAAGAGGAGCACGAGAATAAAATCGTCGTGCTTGGCTGGCACAGAGCACGTACCTCATTAAGTAAAAGTAGCGTAGAATATTAATCGAGTTTGTTTATTACAACCTACCAATCACTACAGTTTCGTTCCCTTAAGGTAGAATCGATTTTTCCCTTAAATTCTCGTCGAATTCGCCGATGTTTACGGCCCATCAATCCGATAGAGGCTAAAAGGTACGGGTGGATTTACGACGTTGAAGAGAAGGAGGCATCGTTTCGCGGCGTAACACGTAACCAAACGGATAGACGTCTACAGGATGTTTTAATCCAGCGGGAAAAACGCCGTGGGTTACCTCGTCACTCTTCGAAATCCACCTTGGAACTCGTACGTCGCGCGTCTTCTTCCACCCTTTCCTGTCTCGCAAAAACCGCCAACCTAACTCAGAGCCGAGTTTAAACTCACACGCCACCAACCGCCAGGTTGTTTCTTCCCTTTTGTGAGAGGTAATTCGTGTCGATTAACTGGGAAAATGCTAGAGTGTGGTATGACGGCGATCCAATTGGACAGAGGAAAGGATTTTGCTGAATTGCTAGGTGTTAAACTGCCGTTAAAAGTTGTACATTTTCGAGGGAAGGTTTAATCGATGTTCGTTACACACCCCATTCAACCAACAGAATCTAGCTGAATCGTTGTCGTTCGGTGTACAGACAGGTTTTCATAGGTTAGGGGACAAAAGATGGTTTCTTTGTACTCACCTTGCCGAAATTGGAGAGGCCACCGATGCGAGCCACTTGACCGGGTTCATCCGCTGTGCTGCATTCTGCCCTAACGAACCAATAGGTCAGTAACTCAATGGTAACAATCCTCTAGCGTTACTGTCGTACAATGCCCTCTAATCATAGAGTTGCACACGTTCGTAATACTAAGCAACGCGGACGGAATTGTTCGTTGAACTAATGACTGCGGAGATTGTGCCCCTTTGTCACGTATACAAACGTCTTAATTCCAACCACGAATCTCTCTCCTCCCCGAATGTATTTATCGAACTACACACACTCTCCTGTGCACCGTTGATCAAACAGAAACTGTACCGTGAGTCTGTTTAAGCCCCCAAAAATCGTCCCAACTGTCTCCCACCAAGCATCGTAGGAATACTAAATCTCTGTCCACAGAGGATTAGTTACTATTATCTTGACGAATTTGTGCGGAACGATAACGTAGCTGGTCAGATTCGTAAACATCTCTCACCGTTGATAGGATTACAGTCAACTGTAGAGAGAGATGGAGGAAGGTTGGGAGGTTGGAGGAGTCCGGGCAATTTCGGGGCGATAATCGTTCCGTATTAACGCGATGTTCTCTAAGCTGGCAAACAGAATGATGATACGACGTTCTCGCGGTGCTAGGCGACGGGATAATCGATCGTTCGACCCAGCTTTTCGAGGAATAAACCGACGGAATCGAATCGATGAATCTGGACGAGGTGAAGCAGGTGACCGGAGATTCGGACTTTCGAAATTTGCGAGAATCGCGAAGACTCGCGGTGCTGGATGTTTTACTTGTTTGTCGTGTTTGAGTTGAGGTGAGCTGAGGAACAGCCGCGATACAAAGTGGTTGTTACGAAGTTAGTTTCGGAGTTCTAAAGGCTCTGTCTGCAAAATCTGATCTTAGTTTACTTATAATAAATTAGCGAATATGGGCGGTGACACGATAAACGAATGGGGGAAATCGCAGACTCTACATGGAACTCTACTTTGATAACTGGGAGGCGAGCAAGATGAAACTTTGATAACTTGGAGACAGGCAAGGTACAGGGTCTGTAGGGGTGCTAGAGCTAAGTTTGATTCGGACGATTTTTGGTGCTTAAAGTGGTCCCCGTGTTCGTGAATTACTCGGGTACCTTGTTATAGGTTTATGACACGGGTTGATATTTCTATCGCTACTGAGCGAGGAGAAGCAGGGCTCTAGCAGTTTATATGGCCCGCTAGAGAGACGACAGGCGGGAAAGGAAAGGGTTATACGTTTCATCCTGGGCCTTCTGCTGAATTTCGTCAGTAAGGTTATCTAGGAGACACGTGTCTTAGACGCGAGGGTCTATTAGATTTTTTTTGGACAATATTCACACATGTGATAACTGATATATCAGTGTTAGAGTAGCGTCTGATACCTAGGTTATTAATTTTCTGTATCACGCGGGATAAAACTTTCAAAAACTTGTTAGCATGATGAGTTGATGATGGATTTAGGGACTCTAAGAGATGTTGTGCTTTTACTAGAGTTGAAGCTGAATTTAGAAAGTCTAGAATGTTGTGCTTTTACTAGAATTGAGGATGGATTTATAGAGAATCTAGAGATATTGTGCTTTTACTAGAGAGTTCAGAATGGATTTAGGGAGTCTAGAGATGTTGTGCTTCGATTTCGATGGGATAACTTAAGTATGTCACAGTTTCCTACATTACCAACTAAATGAAGTTGCTTATGTGAGTGATTGAATATGCCTTAGATAAGATCTTCGATAGAGTACGTCAGCAGTGTTCGATTCTGCGTGCAACTTGTGGGGACAATTACACTCAATTTGGAAGTTGTATATATACGAACAGGACCCTTTACCGAGCACTAGCGAGAACGCTCAAAGCTCTGTCCCTCTAGTGGCGAATCACAGAAAGTACCACCAAAGTACCACCAAATAAAAAAAGAAACTTCAATTGAAAATATTCTGAAAAACAGCCTTGTCATTCGTCCGTGTCAGAAACCCAATCGCCTTAACAACTACGCTACCGATAATCTTGAATTAAAAGTAGGACAAGCGGTACGTAAACACACGACCAGTTGAAAACGTGCCTCTCTGTGCAGATATTTATCAGCGCGAGTATCGGCGGAATCGCATCAGAGTCGTAAAACGCGCGGTCGATACCGGAAATTCTGAAACGCGAATAATATTGTTACGGTTCCATTAATCCGCGCATGATTCATCGTTCCGCCGGTTACGTAATGCCGCGTATAAATAAAGCACCGGTTTTGGGTAGGGATGGGTTTGGGTTTTGGGGAACCGTGGTATAAATTTCACGGTCGAAAGACAGAATCGTTGATCATTTCTGAGCTTGAAATATCGTTGCTTTTTTTTTTCTTCTCTTTCTTTTTCCAAGGGGAGGAGATTTCATCGAATCGTCGAAGTTGATTCCAAGTGTCGCGGCGAGTTAAGCTGAGCGAATTACCGCGTTCCATTTGCTACCTCGCGAGCTACTTGCGAAGTTCGCGTGCGCTATTAAACCCTTTCCCTATTATAAAGCTACCGCCGGCCGTACACTTGGCATTCAACCCGGTGTTTACCGACCGAGACAATAGTCGTTCAGCCGAAAGTTTTATTCGTGTGTTAACTATCCTTTGTCTCGTGGTTCCCCGTAGTTAAGACCTCGAGTGTCGCCAAGTGTTTCGAAATTCTACACGGTGTCTCCGGTAATCGGTGAATTACTCTCAGTACGATCGAACGGAAGAAAAGAAAATAATTACAACGTAATTGTCGTAACTGTGTAAAAGTTAATACAAATTCCGTACTTTGTTCAACTGTTAGCAGGGGGGTGGAGGTACGATCGTACAACGGATAACAATTTTAATTTTACAGGCCGTACGCGCAGGTGTAAAATAAATTCGGACTTTATTCCCCGTGGGACCAAAGCGACGTGTCTCTCTCGCAAAAGCCGTCGGTTCGTTCCGAGACTTTTTATTGTTCCCCACCCGGTTTTCCGTGTCGTCGTCCGTTTTTCTCCTCCCCGCTGCCTATGTGTAGTCGAGTGCAGTCGGTGTTCTCTCGTAAAAGGGAATTCGTCCATTGTTTGTTCTAGAATAATATTTCTGTCGACGCTCGACAACGGACCAGCTGGGTCGCGGCCCTTACGCGTGTAATTCCGAATCTCTTCGCCGAATCCACAACTTCGAACTGTTCACACTTGCCGCGATAAGTGTGGGAAAATGAGGGGTTAAAGTGATAACGGTGTAAGTCAGAATTTCCTTATTTTGAGAAACAGAGGATGTTGTTAAATGTGATCAAATAAATTGCACGGCATGAAATTTGGTTACAGTGATAATCCAAGATTAATAATGAAATAATGAATTGAAAAAATTTTTTTGTTCTGGTCGAAAAAGGTTCGTGATTGTCAATTAGTAAATTTGCGATTTTTCCAGTTCAATCATATCGTATCGAATGTTTAGCAGATAGAATGTCCCAATTGTATCGTAAACTGGGGGAACATTGGCAGCTATACACAAGAACGTTAGATTTTAGTTAACATGAAAATAAGTAAACAAAAGTTTAGATCACAATAACTGTTATACTAGAAGTTTTCTACGTTACCGACGCGCAGGCGCCCAGATGGTCAGCGGCGTCTCGTGGAACGCCTCGGTTGACTATTCAATTGTTCTTCGAGAGAGTCGTGCGTTGCACATTTTATATTTCGTGTAATGGAACCTTCGTTGCAACAAATTGCGTTTGTGTTATCACCGTACAACTGCGTCTTGTTACATTTCCCTGCACCTGAAGCTCGCGCTTAACAATAACTAATCACTTTGTGTCTTTAATTGCATCAATGAGATAATTAACTTAAAAATGCAGTAATCGTCCGAATAAATAAAAAAAATATAAAGGAGAGTGCATTGAACGTAAAAGGAAAGAAATTTAAATGTCGATGTAACTTCAGATTGGTAAAACTTCAGCTGTTAATGCTATTTACTTACTCCGTTTTACTCCGCAGTTAATTAACATGTATTGCAGAAGAAGAAGGACAAAAACTTGATACATTTTCACAATTGTAGTGCAGTCACAAAAGATGCATGTACTTAAAGCAGATGTAAAAATGTGAATTTTTATATTATACAACAAAATGTTACAAAAACCTGTTACAAAAATTTTCGAAAATCTCACTTACACAGCTGTCACTTTAACCCCTTCAAATATCGGCACACCTTTAAAATTTTTTGAAATCCACAAAAATACGTTCCTCTCGCGGCAGTGAAAGTGTTTCAGTTTGCTTAAATTTATATTTCAAAATGTTCAAATGGAATTAAACCGGAGATTTTATTTCGCCTAGTTAGCGGAGGCACGTCGGAAGTTTATCGCGCGTGGCGGAACATTCGTCGCGGAACTTTTCCCGCCCATATTTCGCGCTTCTCCTTTAGTGCGTCATTTATGGTACAATTTTCCCGGGCAACGATAAAACCAAGCCCCGTATTCGCTATACGGAACGCTAAACTATCCACCGTGTCTGTATTTCCAGCGGTTTTTGAAAACGCGCTCGTGTTTGTCTCGCAATTCTATTCTATATAGGACGCATTAAACGGAATCGTTGCGAAGAAACGCGATGATCGACGCGTGAACGACAATTATGACGAATTACCGTCCACGACGAAGCTCTTCGCTTATGGTTACGCGTCGATGCAGTCGTTTGCAGCGATCGAAAAGGGGAACGTTGAAAAGTGGCCATTTTTTGGCCAAATTTGGAAAATCCTGAAAATTTCTGAAGGATTTAAGAGTATCTTCCGAGGACCAAAAATTTTAGGAGAATTTATCGGAAATGTGATGGGAAAGCTGTAAAAAGTAAATGCAGATATGAAAAAGTATGCGTTAGGTTTCATCTTCTTCAGGTATCGATCCATCTCTAAGGTGATTCTCGAGAAACTGCAGGTAAAGCAATGGAAGATTGCAATCGAGCGTATTTGAAATACTGCAAGATCGTTGGTGCACGAGAACAGAAACCAATAACGCGTTCGCCGATTTTGTATCTCTGTATACAAATTTTCTCAAGTGAAGAAGATGAAAATGAAAGTAACCTATGCACGTGAGTTCGATCGCTGCCATTTTTTCATATTTGCACTTAGATTTTTCAGAAAGCATTTTGGATAAATTCTTGTGAAAGAGGTACTCTTAACCCTTCTTATGCGAACATAATTTCTGACACTCGGCAGGTCTGATTTTCTCACTGTTCTGGGCTTGAAAGAAATTCGAAAAAATTCTGAGATATTAGGTGATCCCATAACTTCGCGTCGAAATTTATAATTTAGGTCAATATTTCCAAGGAGCCTTTAAATTTGATAAAGAAACGAAAGCGCCTTCTAATTCCACGATTTTTCCTATTTTTATTTGTAAGACCGTTATTTTTGATTTTTATTAAAATATTTTTCGCGTTTGGCACGAACTTGTGGGATGACCTAACACTTGTCAAAGTGTCTGCTACATCGTGTAAAAGTTTCAAACTTTTTCCAATAAAAGTAAAAATTCTTTCCGAAGAAATGCAAGAGCCAAATTTGGCCTGGGTCGTAAATGACCCATCAATGACCTCTCTTCGGGCTCCGTCTTTACTATCGTGCGGGAATATTTCTGAGAGTGCCTACTATATCGTTCGCTTTCTCATATTATAGGGAAACTGAAATTAGTAAGATTAAAAAGCCCAAAAATGGCCATTTCCAAACGTCCTCCTTCCGCGTGTTACTTTCGCAAGAAACTTTCCCAACGAGAACACCGGAAGATGCTGGCTGGCACAATTAAGCATTATCTCAATTGGTAAACTCACCAAGGCGTGTTGCATGTGTGCGTGAGGGTGAGATATCTGGCACCCAACTCGTACAACATCCTCAGAACTGCGAGGCTCGCTCCGACCGCATGGCCCCCTTCGACCCCTATCAGGCTCGCTAATCTACCCTCCTTGTGTGCTCTCTCTATACCTGAAATCACACGTTAAATCTCCCTTCAACGTTCTCGATTGTCGTTATTATTATTGTCCTAATTATACTAGGGTATACATAGATACGGTGGAAAGGGCGTTTTCAACTTCGACCCTTATCTCCTCAAGTACCATCGTCATTGCGGCTAATTGTCCCAGTCTTCCAACGATCTCTTCGTGCTGCCATTCCTACTTCCTTCAAACACCCTTTGAATCTCCGATGAACTATATACACACACCACACTTACACACATATACATTCTAACCCTCGTTTCAAGTTAGTTATACACGCGATTAATTAAAGTTATCTGTCACCTTCGATCGGTCCGTTGGGGTTTAATTGAATCATTTAAATTACCCATCGTCGCGGCCGAGCGTTATCGCTTGGATCATTAATTACGAACCGTAAACGCGGCTTGATTAATCCCGACCGGGAGAATAATGGAACGCCAGGCTTTCGAAGAACGCTCGAATGGTTTTCGGTCGCGGGAGGGAAGGAGGACGGGGAGGGTTGAATAGTAGGAGTTGAGGATTGGGGGGTTGGATGGGAGAGCTAGAGGAAATCCTTCTTGCGGGCCGGAGTATTTTGTCAGTATTTAGTCAGCGCGCCGCGAATTCGATTCCCGCGTCGGTTTAATCGTTTTAATCGAGTACGCCGGTGTAAAGGTGGGGTGCGGCTATCGGCCTCCGTGAAATCGGATTCGCGGGCTCGGTGTCGTTCCAATTCGATTAAAACACCGCGTACAAATTGCGTTAGGTCCACACTACTCTTCCTACATCTCGTGTATATGTATACATATACGTATGTGGAGAGAGTTAGGCGTAGAACGTGACCACCCGGTAGATAGTCGCGTGGCGCGATCGTCGAGGCCGCGCGCGCGGTCTCTTCCACCCCCTGCTGCGAAACACCATTTGTCGCGGCGGACTCGAACTTTTCCGCTTTCGACCGCACGCGATAGAGCAGACCCCCGTTGCTCCGCTGTTGGCGCTAATGGAAGCCTCGATACTGCGGCCAGACGAGTTTACTCGTCGATGGAATCGTCGCGACGTGGATCGATGGACCGATCTCATCTTGCTACCTCGGGGAAGTTATCGACATTCTGACGAAAACTATCGAGCATCTGACTCTATAACGCTAGATTTTCGTAAATAAGGTGACTAAATTTGCCAGTATGCAAAGTTTCAAGTGAATCGGCGTTCTCCTTGTAAGTCCGAGCGGGACTTTAAATAAGTAGAGTACTGTACGGGAAATCTATGATTTTCACATTTTATGCATTCTTAACGAGTAGCCTTCCAATAGGAAGTGTAAAGGTCATTCTATAAGTTCGCGTCGAATTTTATAGTTTAGACGAATATTTCCGTGGGAACCTTTGAATTTGATAAAAAAGAAGGAAGTGTGTTCTCGTTCCACAAATATTTCCTATTCTCTTGGTACGACTATTGTATCGTCGCTGAAACATTTTTCTTATGGGACGACCTAATGTAAAGTAGACTATTTTAACCGTGACAAAAATTCTACGACAAGTTTGAAACATCTCCGGCGGCCCATTCGGACTTGTTAGAGGGAAAAACGCTTTTGTGGAGGAAATTGGATTGGCAAGTTAACCTTTTCGTTCTGGTGCGCTTATGACACAACGTCGCTGACATGACGCATTTTATGTTCTATAAATTCTGCGATAAAGTTTATTACAGTAATTCTAATTGCTGTAATAAACTTTATCCTATATCGTTGAATTTGTCTCAGTGTCACCTACAATTATACCGTGCCGTTTCAAAAAGTGAAGATGACCTGGATTTTTTATGGAAAAAAGTATTTTTGAAATTTACTAACAATCGAGCAATGATTAGCTTTTGTTTATAAAATTTTTTGTCAGACTATTGAAAGTGTCCATAAATCGTGGCGACTGTTTTACTGGACGTTCTGTATATATTAAGTCGTCCCATAAGTTTGTATCGAAAGCGAAAAATAATTTAATGAAAGCCCAGGAAAATTCTACAGCAATGACAAAATGGTCTTACAAAAAGAAGAAAAAAAAAATAGAAAAGAGTTATGGAATGGGAAGGCCTTTAGTTTCTTTTCCTCAAATTTAAAGGTTCGAGGCAAATTTATGGTATGACCTAATGCTTCCACTCTTCAGAGCTAAAGGGTTAATCGTCGAAATGCATTAGAATCGTTTAAAACCTTCTAATCTCCCCTAAAATACCAAGTCAACCTAGGGTGTACATAAAAGTTCGCTTTGTCCATGTTCCAAGGGCTATGCTGCAAAGTTACCCTCCCTCGTTTCATTCTTCCATCGCTAAATCGAGCGTCTCATGCCCACTGTCATTTGTCCCGAGCAGCTTTAATTACTTCACGGTTGGCCGGCCGATTACGCTGTATCAAGCTCTTAATGGAGGAACAACCGTAAAAGAAACGTCAGTACCCAGCCATATTCTGTCGATAAACCTCGATTTACTGCTTTCCTTGATTTATATCCTTCATACACACACACACACACTTTCACATATTGCTCAGTATACTTGGTATTCGTTGATGATTACGTTCTACACTTCGTTCAAAATAAGAATAACCTCGCTCTCGGACCGATTCTCGTTCGTTCTGCGCATAGACAGGGAGCGTAGCGGAGGATAAGACGGAGAAAAACGTAGGCGATTAAGTTGGGGCTTTGGACGCTCTAGCCCTGCCTTAGCCGCGTCCCATGCGCGAAACGAGGTTATTCTTATTTTGAACGGACAGTAGTTTCGAGGTTATCGCTCGATTCGAACAGCTCTGTCTGATCTTCCGTATTCAAGCTGCATCCACTTTTCCTTCTTCTTCTTTGCCGCGCTGCACCTTGGAGAACGCTTCGGTTCGCTTTTATATCTCGTTCAACCTATCGTTTCACGGATCTTCCATTTTCTAGCCGCGTAACCGGCCATTCCGACCCCCTTTAAACGCCCTCGATCGCGCGCGAGAATTGTAAACGGAGTCGGTGGGGTTCGTCTTCGTCCCTCGTAAATCCTCCACTCTGTCGAACTCTCCGGACGGTTTCAACTATTGTTCTTCCGAGGTGACGCCACCAGGGCACGCTTCTCGTTCGAACTTTCTAGATTGAGGTTGGGTAAACATATCTGACTTGACGATTGTCTCTTGGATTCGGGCGTCCTCGATAAGTCGTAGATTAGAGAACATCTTCAGGAGAATTCGCGATTTTAAGGTTACTGCTATTAGTTCATATTTAGATCGGCCTTAACTCTCACACTTTTTTCAATTTGACGAGCTAGAGATGAAGCAATTTTTTCTGTTTTTTAAAATTATTTAAAGGAGAATTCGTGATTTTGAGGTCTCTTCTGTTTGCTCATTACTGATGCGATATTTCGATCAATACTTCAAACATACATAATTTTCAACCCCTTAACGCTCACTCCCTTTTCAATTTGCTGATCTAAAAAATTAGTAATTTTCTTTCTAATTATTTAAAGGAAAATAATTTTATAAAATTACACTTCATGGACGATTAGGATTATTGTGAAACACGGACATGGGCGTTAATGTATCGATAACTTCTCTTCATTTTCTTGGCAAAGCCACTATGCAGTCACTATAAAATTTCTCCTGTTTTTCATTAAAATATTGTTGCGTCTCAGACGCAATCGTTAAGGGTTTGACTTTACGACATGGACGATCAGGGCTGCTATTTTTCAGGGCTTCTAATCTCAATTCTTTTGTTTACTTTTTCGTTCGAAGCGATGTCGAGGGCCAGAAAGTGTTTATGGACGCAGAAACTCGACGCTTCTGCGTGCCATACTCCTTTTTGGCGCCCGTACATTTCCTTCAATAGCAATTGACGTGTCGTAAAGTCACCTCACACACACACGCGCAATTTCGCAGGGCCTCAGACCCCTGTCACGATACCTTACCACCACCCCATCGACCAGGGAAACCCAGGATGGACTGCACAACCCCTACTCCCGGAGGACAGCGGAGGACGAGGAAGGACTCCCATTCGGCCGCATATGCCACCCCCTCACCATAGTTTTCAGATAAAACCAACCCCTACTCCCGGAGGACAGCCCAGGACGAGGAAGGACTCCCATTCGGCCGCATATGCCACCCCCTCACCATAGTTTTCAGATAAAACTGCACGAAAGGCCCAACGCGTCTCTATGTAAAAACGTTTTCCAAAAAGGGATCAACACAACACTTCACGTCACAGTTCACACCTACAAACCTACACTTGCAACGCTAACATCGAAACGCTCACACAAAATTAATTTGGCGTGTGAGAGACGCGATACTCGAAAATCAATAAAGATCACGAATCGCGTCGAAACAAATATTGTTTCAATGTTACTTCCTATAGAATCCATATTGCGAAATTTTTTGCCCACTAAAAAGTGTTGTATCGCACGAAACAGATGGTAATCTAATGGGACAATATCCGAAGAATACAGCGGGTGTGATGAAATTTCCCAATCGAATTCGTATACTTTTTTCTGCACGTTTCGTGTCACACATGCTTCAGCGTTTCTATGTTTCACTGTCAGGGTAAAGTAGTCTAATATGAGACCGTTCCTAATACGAGACCCCGGCATATCTCCGTTACAGAACTATTGAATGTTTCTGTTTCGTAATTAACCGAATCGAAATTTGATTCAAACGAAAGTTTTTTACAAATACCTTGAAAATAGTAAGTTTGTAATCATTTTCATAAATACCGTTGTACAGTGCACGCAATGGAGTTCAAGGCTTACTAGTTGCGTATCGTTAAATAACGAAGACTTAATCTCGAAGCTACTCGGATGTTTCTATTATAAGAAGAGTCTCATATCAGGCACTCAATTTTCTTTCACTGTACAAAGTGCCGAATGTGTGAAAAAGGACAGAAAAAATAGTTTTCTCATATTAGGAACCCATTTTTGAAATCTGCGTATTTGCATAATTTTCCTATTTATTTTATTACGAACCTTCCAGTACCTCACAAAAGAATACATATCGTACTTTCAAAACATGTATCGAATTTTAATAAAAGAAATGGGTCTCATATTAGGCAACTTTACCCTATTCTCTCAACTTTTCTAACCGAACACACTACACTTCTGAATTACCAATTTCGCTTCCCGAAAGTCACTCGAAATACAAAATGAACTTATCGCTCGACCCGAAAATTCATTTCTCTGCTTTCCAACGCTATTAAGTGATTCCTAGAAACAAAATATTGTGTTTTTCACATTTTCACCGTAAAATATTCATCTATTCTAGCTTGTTACTTCTTGTTTTATTTGTTCCACAGAAAAATATCAATGTTTTTTACGATCGCTGGTGGCAATAGTTGGAGTTTTATCGATGTCATTCGTACGCATAAATCAGTCGCGGTGAACGCCGCACATGTTTTTCCTCCGGCAAAAAAAGCTGCTTGCAAATTTTGAACAATCGTTCCTTTATATGTTCGCGAGTGAAGTATATACGGCTGCGTATTGCATGTCTATTTACATATGCATGTGCATGCCGACATGCAGTCGCCGTGGTTCGGCTTATCGAACGTGGTAGAACGGCCGGCGTGGCTTGACATTTTTCCATTTCAGCTGGAATTTACAACTGGCTGGATCTTCCTGGCCATCCGACGTTTTCTCATCAGACCACCGTTCCGTTCCTCCCGGTCTACCGTATAAAACACCGAATTATTATATGCGAACGAGTGGGGCCGTGGTTGAAAGTCGGTTCAGATGTTCCGTGCCGGATTATCGCAAATCTATCGCGTTCGAAAAAATAGTGTTCTCTTTCCTCGTATCTGTTCTCGATGTCACGTCGGATCACTGCTTTGGTATTTCCCTTCTAATCCTCTTTATGGCAGTGAAGTAGGAATAGTCTGGACACTGTTTCCGAAATTTCAATGGAATTTAAGGGACCAAATCTTCCACGATTTCTCAGTAAGAGAATCACGAAGAGAATTTTGAATTTTTACATCTCCTTTGTGTCCTGGAATAGCTCAGAAAATTTGAGTTCGATGAAGAATTATCGAGTGAAATATTATTTTCCTTTTCGACGTCACGTCGGGTCGCTAATCCACTCTATTTCATTTCAATGAAAATAGTCTGGGCACTGTCTCCAAAATTTCAATGGAATTTAAGGGTCGAGATCTTCCACGATTTCTCATTGCAGAATCACGAAGGAAATTCGGAAGGTCCTCTGCTATTTGTTTTCTAAATATTCTTCATTTCCTTGGAATAGCATAAAAAATTTGAGTTCTATGGAGAATTATCGCGTGAAAAAATATTTTTCTTTCGGATGTTAGGTCAGATTATAGAAAAATAGTTGAAAAATATTTTTCTCGATATCGCTATTCTTCGTTTCCTGAATCTCCTTCGTATCCTTGAAATGCCTTCGAAAATTTCAGTCCTACGAGAGGTTATCGCGAATTTATCATAGCGCGAAAGAAAATATTTCTCCCTCTCTATCTCTCTTCTCGATGTCACATCGGATCACTAATCGACGATTCCTTTTCTAAATCCTCTTCATGGCTTTGAAATAAAAATAGTTAAAAAATATTCTCCTCCCGCTTTATCTTTTGCTCCATATCCCTATTCTTCGCTTTTTGAATCTCCTTCGTATCCTCGAAACGGCTTCCAAAATTTCCAACTCACCATAGCTGAAAAAAATATTTCTCCCTCTCTTCTCGATGTCACGCTAAATCACTAATCCACCATTCCCGTTCAAAATCCTCCTCATCCTCTCTAAGTAAAAATAATTCCGCTCTAGCATCGAAAATTTGAATAACATCGAACGGACCAGCCTCTCCGTCTCCCGCAATTTTTCAATAGAGAGGAACGACGAAGAAAAATTGCAAAGGTACCTCCTCCATTCAGACAAATCATCGTAGAATAGGTTTTGCCAAGCGCTCGTAGCTGCACGGAAGTCGGTCGTTACATCCAGAATGATGATGGCTCGTTTCCGAAAGAACGCGTCTTCTCTCGCGACTTAAGATGCATCCTAAATTCAGGAAAATGTATTCACAGTGACGATAATAACGGGCTAGCTCTGGCTTCACTTTTCCACGCGGCGTGTACCCAAAACTACGACCAACGAGAGATTCCCATCCTTCTCTATCAGCCAGCACGAGGAAGATTGGCTCTGGTCCAGGAAAAGAGACTCTCGGCGGCGCGCGACGTCGAACCGGCTAACCGGAAGCAAACACAAGAAGCCGGCCGAGGCAGAGTTCGGACGTTCGTCGACCCCTTCGGTCGAACATTTCATACCGTACGTGCGTAAATCTGGTTCGGGAACGAATCAGAGAAAAACCCATTCAGATTGTTTTCCAGTCACGTTCCACGCGGAGCCAGGGAGGAGGAGCTAACTACTTCGCGAGGCGAGAGTCCATTTATTATCCCGTAGACGTCTCTGCTTGATCGCGACAGGGAATTAATTAAATCGTGGAGATGCAGCCGTAGGAGGGAAGTCTGAGGAGGGAGGCGGAGAAGAATATTCACTCGACTCGAGATTTTCTTAAAAGTCCGGGGAACTCTTTTCGCGGGCGTGTGCCAGTCTCCTTACCCAGGCCTGGCTCTCTCTCTCTCTCTCTCCTCTGGCTTCTGGCCAGAAATTCCAGCGGTGTGTAACGTCGGACGGCCCATTCTCGGAACAAATAGACGATGGTAATTCCCGACGTTCGTCGACCTCGAAGGAAGGAAGGAAGGAAGGAAAGGCAGGCTCGATTTCATATTCTTCGCGTGCGAGCCTCGTTGCTTTTCCGCCGATCCCCCAGATCGACGACTCTTCGACGTACGACGGGCTTTTCGTTTGCTAGCACGCTCGCTCTATCTTGCGCTCACTAAATCTATATACCGGGTGTCACAATTGGTTCCGATCAAACTTTGCCGGTGTGTTGTATGGGTAAATGTGAGAGAAAAATGTTGTATAAACGTGGGTCGTTTGGAGCTTCGTTAAAAAGTTATGACGGTAATCAGAGATACTAAGGTTGTGATGAAAAATAGGACTAGATCATCCCATTACGTTCTTACAAAAAGCGTCACGATTTAAATGGCTACTCTTCGATAAATTTAGCCTCGTATATCGATAAAGACATACAGGGTGTCCGCGTTTCTTTCCATTCCCTTAACATTCTCTATTTTCGTTGTAACTCCTTAACGAAGCTTCAAACGACCCACGTTTATACAACATTTTTCTCTCACATCGACCCGTACAACACACCGGCAAAGTTTGATGAGAAACAACTAGGACACCCGGTATACACAAATCGTTCGGCCGTATCAGTTTTACGAGTAACTTTTCAAACGACGAAGAGGACGGAGCGATGTTTTCACGGTTGAACATGCTCCACCCGGCGTGTTTACATAATTGCGAGGGTTGATTGGCAATTAACAATTTCGTGTTTAACTTGGGAACAGGTTTGGCGATTCTATTAACCAGTGATACACGGAGAATTCATCGTTAGACCGGAGCAGCGGTAACCAAGAGTGTAGGATGTTTCGCGCGTTGTTCGTTTACCTTTTACTCGACGATTTAACGCGAGTTTTCGAAACCAGTTATCTAATAGCTCGAAGATCGGTGTAACAGACAGAAATTTGTTTAGCTAGCAAACAAATATGCGAGCCTGGGATCAATACTCTCGCCGTTCTGCTCGTTGGTCCGTACCGCTGATCTCGCGTTAATCGTCGCGAACCTCGCCGGTTCGTTTCTTTTCACGTGGGAAAGGAGCGTGGGAGGGAAGGGAGAAGAGAGAGAGAGGGGAAAAATAGGTCGGTGAAAATTCTTTTGACGATGAACGATACCGCGAGAGTCGATAACGATTCGACGGTGGCCTCGCTAGAGTGGGAAAAAATCGAATCGTTCTGGCCTGCCGCCAAATGTATGCATTCGATTGAAAATTTATCTTCACAGACCGTGGAATGTTTAACCGCGTCACTTGCGCGCTCCTCCCTCATTTCGTCTGTCCTCGATGATCCTTTGACCATGTCAAAACGCGTTGAATAGCGTCGCGATGTGTACGATTCGAAAGTTGTCAGAACCTACCGGTCCCGTGCCGGCTCGCTTTTTCGACCGCGATACAAGCGCGACTCTGCACACCTCTCTCGACAGACCGGATAGTGAAACGGGACATTGTATTACGATGCATGGTAACAGGGGGGGAAAAAGAGGGGTTGTTGCAAAAAAGGCATAGAATCGGAGGTGAAATAGCTCACCTTCCGCCGTGGTAACGAGGACCATGCTTTCAGGATGCTTGTTCACCAGCCGACGAATCAGATCGATCTGCTCCAGGGCCAGTTGAACTGAATCGAGGTGCTGCGATGAGCAGGGCACGTATGCTGACCAGAACTGAAACAGACGAAGAAGAGAAGAATGAATTTGGGTGAGTTCTTTTTTAAGCGATTGGGCGTGTTATGCTAGGTTTTGTACGAATTTCTCGAAACTGAGGGCTGGGATTGGGGTGACGTTTGAATTGGAGCCATTTAACCCTTTCGCTGCGGCAGGTTTCAGTGGGCAACGCGCGTGGTAGGCGATAGATATGTGGCGGGTACGTCACTATCAACAAGCCCTTATCGAACCTTGTTCTATTCTTCCACGCGAACTTTCTCATCTTCAACTCCTTCCGTTCTTTTGTCTCTCCCCGGGTTAAGACTTGCCTTCGTCCTCTTGCCTTCGTTCCCTTTCCACCATTTTCTCTACTTCTATCTTTATCCATCTCTACTCCTGTTTCCCTGTCCTACCAATAGAAAAACCTCAGTTCAGTTTTCCTTCCACCAACCGTCGAGACGTACCCGCCGAACCGCTGCCGCAGGGACAATTAACGAATAAAACGATTGTATTTTCCGGGCGAATTGTACGCTGACCATCGCACTTAGATCTTAATAAATTTAGGTGAAAACAGTGCAACGGCGTTCCTCACCCGCCTCAGCAGTAAAAATTTCGAAGACTCTCACACCCGGACACCACATACGCCGTAAAACAGACCCTCGACACCAGTAATCCTACACAACTCTATTGTGGTGACCGATCCGCCGGCGATTGGGTCCGACACGCGTGAGTGCGTGTGTGCGTGTGAGCGAAAAGCGAAGCGTAGAAGAGGCACGCGGGCCCCGGGCCCGGGACAAGAAGGCAGTTGAAAGTAGCGCGCCGAGCTGGCTGTGCGACAAAGTGTATACTTTTTTCTAACGAATTGATCCCACAATACAACAAATCTAACAATAATTTCCCCACTTCCACACCATCAGACAGACACCCCTCAAGCATCCCGAAAAACCAATCACCACACACTTCCACCACGTCCTCCACATTCGAACCACCAATCACAACGCACACCTGGTTAATAAACGAGCGAACATACACACTCGAAAAAAAGAACTCGCTCAGCTTTCGAAGCGCACACAATTATAACACACTCGATTTTAGTGAACTCTCCGGACATTAATTTACCGGGAGAGCGCGACGCGAAATATATTGTAATATTTTCGTGCCGCAATAATTAACTCTAATTCGTAATTATATCAGACTGTCAAAGGGTCGAACGAAATTTTCTCGTTCGATCGCGTGACTCGGTATATTTGAAATAATTCCTATGTAAAACTACATCCCTGTCTGATCGTAATCGCGCGATCGAAATACCAGGGCGTAAACATGGAATTTACGCGATAACTCATTTCGATGTACCGTAATAGGGATAAACTGGCGTGAACGTTCATTTCTCATCGCGATTCGCTGTCAGACGGAATGAAAGTAGCCGCGGTTTGGTATGTAGATACGGGAAAAAAGGGAAGGGTTGAATTTGAAATAATTGGCGATACGAATGGTTCGTAAATCGTGTGCAATTCGATTGGTCGGTAGGTAAATGAAACCGATGAATCGGATACTCTTGGGGGAGGTGAACCTGAGCTGCCATAAAAATCCTTCTCCATCGTTGTTAAGCGTCAAACGGAAGCACGCCGTTCGATGCGATTACCATCGCGGAGAACGTCGATTCACGGGAATAAGACTCTTCGATTTCTCGGGATATCGCGATCGTAACGCGCCCTTACAAGAATTTACGCGCTACTCGAGATCGTACGTATAACCGTATCGATGGAAATTCCTACGGAACGGCTGGAAAATCGAGTAACTTGTTACGTACACCGTCGTTCGTGAGTATTAGGACGCTTACCGTATGTGAAGTAAACGTAAATAGTTGTTAAAAAATTATTAAAAGGGCGAGACAGTCTGGAATCTCGTTGTACACAGAGTAGATACGACGAAACTTGTAAATATCTAGTTTAATTTAAGGTACAGTCGTAAAAATGAGGACCAAACAGTGTGTCGTTGATTACGCCATACCTAACATTTGCACGAAATTCAGTTTGATAATGAGTTCGTTGCAGGTCGTTGAACTCGCCTCGACTAACGCTTTCGTGTAATATGGAAGGTTAGAAAAATGTTGAAATACCTTAATTGCTATCGTATTAAATCAACTTTAATTATTTAACCCTTATGTCAATAACCATAATTGTCGTTTACTTTATCGTCCAATTTTAGTAGTTTTCTGATAATCATATTCTAAACTTGAGACAAATACGGATAGGAAGTGTGTCAAATAACAACGACCTGGTCGGATATTCAAATCTTTTACCGGGAAGAGAAAATATTTGAAGTGAGAACGAGGGAAAGGGTACAGGGGTACCTGTTATTGACACAAGGGTTAATCAGGTAGTCAAATATGTGTCTTATTACTCCTTAATACTCATTAATATACTCATTAACCAATGACGCACGTGTTCAAACTTAGAAAGAACGAAAACGCCTAAACGATAAGTAAGCTCGTGGAATATCCATTCAACAATTATAATGATAATTCGCCCGCATAATTTATTAAAAATTTAAAATTGAAAAACTAGCCCCGGTCTCCCCTGAAAAAAATTATTATTAACATTATTATTATTATTATTAGATACTATTATTGTATTATTATTAACATTATTATTAGATATTATTATTATCACAACCAAACACCTTTATAATTATAAACCAAAACGCCAAGCAACCGCCACAGGTAGGAAGGGGGCGAAGTCGGGAAAAATCCACGAAGCGACGCTCGACTCCAGGCCCTTTTCCTGACCATTGATTGGTCGGAAGTGTAGGAGGTGGTCTAATGAACTTTACTCAAATCAGGATGTCGTGCAAAGTAGTTTATTTCGGACTCTTCGGCGTCCGTCTATTACCGAAACTAAGAACCGACTCTCGTCGAATGGCAAAGATATCGCTGGGCCGAACCGATGGGTACTCGGGTCTGGTGCTTGTCACTCGCCAAGAGGCGCAGGCCAAGCCATAAACCGTCCCAAAATGCCTACAGAAGCAAGGTGCCAAAACTAGTATAAAACCGACGTACCTGCACATGGTCGATAGATAGTCTTGAGATGGGTGAGGAACGTCGTTACCCTGTTTTCACCTCAATTTATTAACGTATAAGTATATAGACGTATAGGCGTACAATTGGTCCAGAAAATAGAATCGTTTATTTTGTTACTTGTCCCGGCGGCAGCGGTTCGGCGGGTACGTCGCGATGGTCGGTAAAGGAAAAACTGTCCGGAGGTGTAGGCGTACTGGGTTTTTATATTGTTAGGACAGGGAGGACAGGGTAGCGATAGATAAAGATAGAAGTGGAGAAAGTGGTGGAAACGGAAAATTCGTTCGTCCTCGTGCGAACCTGGATGCCACATGTGCGCTTCTTAGGCCACTCGAGGACGAAGGCAAGTCTTAATCCGGGGAGAGACAAAAGAACGGAAACTAAAATCTGAAGCAGTTGGAAAAGAAAAAGTTCGCGTGGAAGAATAGAACGAGGTTCGGTAAGGGTTTGTTGACGACGACGTACCCGCCACAGTCTGAAACCATACACCTAGAACGACACCCGTTCGAACTAAACATTAAATAAAACGACATCAAACACATTTCTGGAATTTTTACGGCCCGTTCCGTAACATGTGCATAGAAAATAATTAAACTTCGTCCTCTTCTATTTTCCTCACAAATCTACCGTTTACGAGAAAAACGCTGTAAATTAGTAGGGCGAAAACCCTCTACATTTTTAGCGAATTAGGGGTGTACACATCTATCGAGCTCCAAATTGACCAATTCTTGTCACAATTCTTTCCCCGCCCCATTACACAAATTCCTACACACACGCACTTTCGAAACACCCTGTACACCACAGCCGGCAGCGAAGTTTTATTTTCAACAACGCCTAGGATGAAATGTACGTCGAGAGCGTGACGTTGTCGTGGAGTTTTCGTAAATCAGCGACTGCTACTAACTCGTCTACCTTGCGCTATCTTGCTTTCTTTCCTCTCTCTCACTCCATTTCTTTTTCACAAACTCTCTCTCTTTCCCATGGAGCGAGCGAGCGAGGGGCGGTTTCGCCGCGTGACTCGCGACACTTTTCTCCGTTTCCCTTACGCGAAGGACTTCATTACCCCGCCGGCGGAGAATCTTTACGGCTAGAATTTTGCTAGCCGCGGCTTAAAGCACGATGAATGCCGTGCTCTTTGCCCCCGGGGGCTAATTGCGACACGGCAATAATTTAATCCCGGGTGAAAAAGGAGCCGGAGATGGGTGGAAAAAGGGTGGGAGAAACTTTGAACAGCCCTCTGGATCGGGGAACGTAAACGTGCACGTCCCTAGTAAACGACCGCGTCCTCCGGAACTTTTGATTTCCCGTTAACGCAATCAACCCTCCCGCCCCTCTGTCCACCACCTTCGCCGCCCCTTTCATCCCGTGTCCACGGCCTGTTACCAGGCAATTTCACCGGGCGACAAGAATTTATTCTTAATTAACGGCCGAGCCCGCGCTTCTTACCCGGGAAAACCGCGTAATTGCATCTTGCTACCTCATCTCGACTTTCGTACAGGGTGTTTATTTTTCCCGCGTATTTCTCCACCTAGAGGACAGCGAATCGGGGAACGATTAAAGTGCTGTGCAGAGACGGAGAGAATTTTAATGTGAATGCACTGTTGGATGCAATCTTTGGTAAACGCCAGCGCATTGCAAACACTCATTTCGTCGAACATTTTGTAGTTTTGTTATTAGTTGTACGATACTCTACTCGTGAACGAGACTGGTTTCAGCTTCGTTCTCAGTTCGTATCGTTGCGCTCCCGATGTGTTAATCCCGGAAGGGCGAAATTCTAGTAGTTGGTGTGGTGATGGTGAATAATAGGTTCTCTCCCTCAGAATATTTTTGAACTCTCTTTATTTGTGGTGGTGCGTGGGTATATATTAGGTCGGTGTGTGTTCTGATTGGTTGGACGTTGAAGGTGGTGGAAAAGAAGGTCTCGAAAAATGCGGAGGTGTGATTG